GCCAGATTCTGCTTCGCTGGGCGGGGGCCCATTCTCCTCCTTGGATTCTTCCTTCGGAACGACATCCATCACGGATGACAAAGGGCCCGAAGCAGATCCTTCTGAGACACCAAAAACCGTCTTGGGGCCAAAGAATCATGCATGCCATTTATGCAATATAGTGCACAGCTTCTGATCCCTGTTGAAGCATCCACAGGCAACCCGATTGCTTCCACAAGAGACCCTCAGGGCCGTCGTTCCACAGACTGGAGATAACACCCTTCCACAAACGACCCTGATGACCTTCCACAGGCTTACTTGTAGCAAATTCAACCACCTTACTTCAAACTAGCTTCGCAACGTTGCACTGGCTGCGACATAGAAATTCTACCACCAGCACAAACTGAAACGAAGCCTTCCACAACACTTTCTCAACGGCGCGGCCAACAAACTTGGAGCTCTCACAACCTGTGAAACTGAACTCTCAAGTTGTGCGTATCACTTTCCAGAGGATCCGGTAGCACAACACGAGGGGGAGCCCGAAGCTGGATTTGGTTCGGGGACAACCACGAAAGTGTGGGTAAAGCTTCTTGTGGCATGGCTATCTGACCTGACAGCTGGCGTAGGTAGTGTACACCACGGCTGTAAAGCTTTGGAAAAGAGCTTTCCAGCCAATCCGCAAGGTCTGAGTACTCTTCGGCCTTTGCACTGTCAAGCTGCCTGGCCACACCTCGACACATCTGTTTACTTTAAACTATTGAGATAGAAACACACACACTCTCTCTCTACCATGATGCACATCACAAGCGCTCGTGTGAGCGATTATATTGTGGAATTTTTAAGCATCCCAGCCTTGACAATTCGGCCCGGACAATCGTTGCAGAGATCTGAGTGTTTCCCTCTGCACACTACCTGGATACACCACCAAGGGACTTTGTGAATAATCTGTATCCGAGATATATCTTTTCACAAAGGCAAAGACATCGGAATCCTGGCGTGGAAACCGCCGGGGCAGGTTCTCTCGGGCACCCGCAAGAACTCGATTCGGTAGACCTGGGCAAGTGAGATTTGCAACTACATCGCACTTTTGCAGTATCCGAGAATTCAACAAACGACCCAGCACGAACTCACCACTTCAAGTACGATCGCAAGGACATAATAATAGTGATTGATTCTGATTTATGAACAGGTAGCTCTCTCTCCTCACAAATGTGAAGGAATGGGGAATGACCGTGGAGCCATCCAGATCACTCTTTCTTCGCCGGTAAGCTCCATACAGCTTCACCGCATTCGGCAACTCAGAGTTCCAATCTCTGATCGATGTTACATGTTCGATGTTGAGCTCCTCCACTCTGTTGGCAAACATAGGTGTCAGCTTCTTCCTGAGTATGTTGATAATGTCCATGGGGCGCTGCCTCGGAACCAGGACTCAGCAAACCCATCACTAGCCGAACCAGCAACTTTAAACTTCCGCGACTTGACAGTGCTGCCCAAGGAGCATCTCATCCGAACAGCCATTGATCAGTGTCGTCAGCAAGCCGAAAAAAGCATCTGAGATGGGAGACAGTGACAGTCATATTAAGTGTTGCTGGTTGAGAAGACCATCCACAAACAACACAAGCGACAACTTGGCCCCACACCAATATCTTCATGTGTATGTCCAACTGGTAAATGTTTGACTGAGGTGGATGTAAAACAGCCAGCATTGGTAATCGCACAGAAGAGCTTTGAAAAGCAACTGTTGCGGAGCTCGCGGGATGTGTTGTCACCGAAGAGGATCGCATGAGAGGGAAAGGGCTTGTTGTTACGCTGAGCCTGCTCCCAAGCCTTTTGCACAGAACGGGCCCAAATCTCAGCCGCAAAATTTGCCCCCACAGTCTGGTTCTCATCCGTAATGTAGATATTCACTGCTCGGCCATGCATTATGCAGGCATACAAATCCATGGATGGCCGATTCTTCTTATCAGCTCCCTTTGGGGTTCGACGGTTAAACCACCTCGGCAATGCATATTTGCTTCTATCCATTCCATCTATGATGGCCAGAAGAAGATCGCCTTCCTTGAGGACCTTTGAAGACTCAATCATAACATGAAGAAAGACACGGACTGTGAGAATTAGTGAACACAAACTTAAACTTATTTGACAAACTGTGCAAGAACCATCTTGCCGAGAAACCCGCGCCCTTAATGAGGCATACACCCGACGATCAGCAAACATACCACCCAAATGTCGATGATATTTGTCACAGTGCTCGGCATGCTCGACAAAGTTTCTGGAGGCTGCAATAGCAGCTTTCAGTCTTGAGCAAATGAAGCACTCAGTGTGTTGTGTTTTGGGCCTGAAGCGCAGGATCTTGGAAAACCCAGACTGTTCGAATGCCCTATAAAACGTCTTGACCGAGGCCACCTCTGTTTCTCCAGCAACACAAGAAGCCATATACAGGTGGTAGAGGTCGGACCTCTTTCCAGGTGGCAGGTACTTCTTTGGTAAGTGTTTGGGCTCCAGGATTCCATGCAAGTCCTGTTGCAAAGAAACATCCAGCAGGCATTTCAACACATCCCCTTGGCAAGTCTGTGTCGTCACAAACTCACCGGCTGCCATATCTTTGACCTTTAACCTGGCGCAGACTCGTTCAAGAACCGACGGTAGTCTTGTGATAATGATAATATTTGTTTACAACTTGAACACATTGATGCAAACAGGCAATCTCAGATGCTGCCGGGGCACTCATGTGGCATTGACTCTGCGATACCCCAATAAAGCTTCTGGATGAACGCCACGCAAGAGGCATACATCGGAGCCGAAGTCTTCGGCCTGCCTGGGACTTGAGGCGATATCTCAGGACCATGATAGCTGATTAAATAATAGCCGACAACCCCACATAGAACAATTATCATTATTTTGAATCCGTGGGGCGGAACTTCCTCAAATCCATCCCACGGAAGCTCCGGCGGCACCGCACCATTCTGTTTGGCGATATGCCAAGAATCTGCAAGAAAGCAGTTCTGCAAACTCGCACACCTGAAAACGCAATCTCTGAGACTTGAAGATCCTTGTCATCAACACTGCAACGGGGTGGGGTGGCTTCTTGCAGCAAAGCACCTTCAAACTGCCACTGGGTTCGGGGAGTATGCCTTTCGGCACTGAAGCTAGAATCTTCGGATTCATCGCTCGAGTCGTCCTCTGGAATCTGCACCATGAATAGTGGGTTCTGCAAACTCCATAATAATCCATCCTGGCCCTGCTTCGACAGCGCCCAAAAACAGGCAACCAAGTAACAAACCGATTTCCAAACCGGTTTCAGACTCCTTTTGCAGCGGCCCTTGCAGCATCTCCGCTTCAGCGCGGCCTCGAGTCGCGCCTTGGATTTCCCATTTCGCTGAAACATGTCCTCGTCTGACGAGGAATCTTCGTCTGCCTGAAAGACATGGTTGAAGGAAAGATTGGCCATCCTTGCCAACGGAAGCTCAATGTCAAGAGATTCAGACTCTGATTCAGCACTTCCTGAAGTGGAGCCAGCATTTGAATATGAACTGCTGGTGCTCCGACTGCTAGAGCTCCCATAATCATTGTCATCATCCGAGCTGCTGCAGCTGTCAGAGCTGTCTTCATTCGAATGCCCGGTTTCAGAAGTCCTGGCCTGCCTCTTTCTCTTACTGCCCACCATGAAAGCTGTCTTGACTCGAATGCCCGGTTTCGGAAGTCCTGGCCGGCCTCTTTGTCTTACTGCCCACCATGAAAACACGCTTCACTTCCAATTGTCTACGGCTTGAAAGACGAAATTATATAAACTAGTCTTTAGCAACACCAACATCCACCAATGATGGCCCCACGAATACAAAGTAGGAGCAGGGTGCTTTGTTGTTTGTGCCACTTTGGGATATCATCCCATCGAACTTATTTAATTTGGCCATGAGAAGTCTAAGGCCTAGCCTCCGTTTCATCACAATGAGA